GGATGAATATTTTTAGTGCAAAAGTGTTCGTGAAACTTGCTAAAATTTGTAGTTATAAAAATATTGTGGAGACTCTGGAATTGTTGAGTTTAAATTATTGTAGTTTTCTTTTGTCTCTGATATTTAATAAATGCTTTTGTTTCATTTTGGGGGGAAATGATTTTTCTGTGTTTTCAAGAAAAGACTTATTTTTCTTATTTATAGTACTCTACTGGTAATTTTTCTCTCCTTTTTAAAGTCAGTATGGCATAAACTTACTCATAGGATGGCATAAACTTACTCATTTTTGCTAAAATGTAAATAATGATTTGAGCATAAAATATTGCTTACTCCTTACCAAGCTCTTATCTTTGAATTTTCAGTATGATCGCCAAAACACTTTTATAAATTAATTTTTTTTTCTGAATGTACAATATCAATAGAAAAGGCAGACAAAACCACAGTTAACTAAAATGGCACATGCAGCTTGTAACTAACTACATTTTTTAATCTTTTTGTTTAAAAAAACTAAAAGTCTTGTATTATGGAACAGGTGATTTCAATATAGAGTGCTTTCTGTTTAATATTGTAAATTGTAGAATCATATCTCATTTCTTCTGAGTCACTGAGGGAACTAACATGGTACTGTATACATTAGTCTTGACAGATTTTCCATAGTAAGGCTGGTGTTTGAGTTACTGTCCTGAAAGATAGTTGCTTTGTCCTTGTGGAGGATTTCAGAGAAAACATAATAGCCTTGAACTTCCACTTTCCCCAGTCTTTTGCTTGAGGAGAAGAAGTTCTGTCTTTTGCTTATATAGTAAGATTTCTGTTACAAACATCTACTGGTCTGGATACTGCACATGGATTAGATCTGCCCATTTCACTTCAGAGGAGGAAATTTAGGCTTCCTCCCTTTTCCATCCTTTTGATTCAGAAGTCTCTGCTGGATTAGTGAAGCACCACATTCCAACATTTCTTTATTCTGTCTCCATCTGAGAGCAGCTTAAGACTTGTTGCTCCCAACCACAAACCACTGTCATTTGTGAGAGTTTTTTCTCGCAGTCTGCTGGCACTTCAGATAATACATATTTTCAGTAATCAGAACCTGTTGGTCTTCCTTTTAGAGAAGCCTGAGGATCCTGTATGCTGAATCTTCATTCCTTCTGGTTCCCTTCCTCAGAATGTGTCTCACAGTGACCTAGCTCTGCCTGCCTTTTTAGCACACCTTAACTGGCCTTCCTGAACAATGCAGCAGAGCGGTCTAACCCATACCGCCAGCCTGCCTGTGCCAGCAGACCATCCAAATAGCTGGAATCCACAGGAAAAGGTAAGCCCAAATTTCCCTCCTTCCTTCCTCCATTCTTCACATGTATGCCAGAGGAACAAGAGTTAGCTGTCTTATTTAGTCTGCCAGCAATTCTCTGCAATGTAGCAGGAAGTGGGGTAGGAGCTCAAACTATCAGCCAGCCACTGCTGGTAGAAATTTCAGTGGCTGAAAATTCAGTCCAAGGGGGAAGAAGTGGCACAGCAATGAAATCATTATTACCTATCTGCAATGCAGTACATTTTAGAATGAGGGAAGGTTCTCTTTCACTAGTGTTTCCACTCAGCTCTTGTAGTCTTGCAATTTCAGCCTGTTTTGGCAAATGTTGTTCTTTTGTCTTATCAGTGACCGCAGGCTGACTTATCCACATATACCTGTAGGAAGTGTTAGTGGTTTCCATGCTCTGTAGGGCTTTTGAGCCTTGAGGTGATAATATCTGTTTAGAATTTGGTGTCAGATTCCTGTCTGGATTACTACTTGGAAGATAATCAACATTCTCTTCTTGCAGTCTGTTCTACCATTGGAGTTTCTGCCAAATCACATGAAGAATCAGAAATATTCTAAGGGAAACTTAGGTCAGAAGGCCTGAAACCAATCTAATTTCATAGGGAAATTACTCTAAATTTGAGAACAACCAAAGAAGAAGGACATTTTTCAACTGTTTATCTCATCACAGTGTGTTTGCTACTGTGCTGTTCTATTTTGAAAAGCAATAATGAAAAGTTATTAATAAACGTTTCTGTATTTCGGTTGCTCTAGTTCAGGTTCAGAGAGGATCAATGCTTTATCCTTTAAATATTTTCCTTTCTCTATTATCTGGTCTGCTATGAGTTCCAGAAGATTTTAAGGCTAAAGCATTATGAATCAGTGGTTCTGAGTGAATATGAAAGAAAAGTTTATACATAATACTTTTCAAAGAAGGTAAATAGTTTGATGGGGGGTGGGGGGGCAAGGTGTGATGGCTACAATTGTAAGTGGCTTGCGTCATCTCTTCAGAATTACCTTGGTCCAGAGTACACCAGGAAGAAGATGATTTTTAAGATCCCTGGAACATGTACCATCTTTATCTTTGTTACATTATTGATACCCTTTTTGATGCATCTAGTTAATTTTGGAGAATCGGAGAAATCTTTCTCAGGGTTTAAGCCTGGCTGATCTGCCTGCTCATTCTCTATGAAACTTTTAAATCAGCGTTGAAAAAAACCTTGTCACAAAAAATAGCGTAGTTTCTTATGGAACATAAAGTAATTTCTGCTGTTTTATTCTAACCTCTGTCTTGCAGAGCACAAGTTTCTTCTTCAGCCCAAACATAAACAAAATAATAATGTAAATTGGTCCAATTAGGACACCTTAAAACGTAGGATAAACTAAATAAATAAATAAAGCTTAGGTTAAACTTTATTTTCTCATCCTAGACTGCTTCCATTAGATGCATTCTAAATGTAACAAAAAAGATTTAAAGAGATTTTTCTCTTCTTTTGTAATATGCTCATGAAATTTCAGGACACCTTGTATATGATAGGATCTTGACATAGAAGCCAAAAGCCAAGAAACATTCTCAGAGTGTCACCCAGGTACTTGTTTACATTGTTTCTAGTCTCTATGAACGTAGATAGTCAGTTCTTATTTGGGCTCTATTGGTAGTAAAGAGATGATTCAGAATGAGAAATATTCCATTACTGATTCAAGAAATACCCTCACTTTTGCTTGTTCTCAAGATAATATAGTGCTCAAGAACCAGCTTCCATCCTCTGTAATGTTACCTGAGCTGATGGAGCTCAGCTGAAATTAGCAATTACATTGATCTGCAACTGAAAATGTACTTAAAATAAACTTTTTTTTTGTTGTCAAATAACTGCTAACAGTGATTCATAATCTTTAAAAGATCTTTATATTGCCACTTCATCTAATCTACCTTAGAACTCTTCTTAACACAATTCAACTGAATTTCTATTCTGATTTCTAAAAATTAAGATTTAAACACTTTATTTTCCCATATGCTGTATAGGTAGTCTTCACAGGACTTGGAATTCAGACTCTGTTGATACTGTGTACATAAAAATCCTGTGTAGTATTTTTCAGTTTTTCCTTTCAAGAAAATAACTCTAATTTATCTGAGACTGATACTGCCTCCGAATGGTTTGCAATGCTATTGGATCCCTCCTTCATAAAATTCCCACGACCATTTTATTCCATGTCAGAAGCCAAAAAGGCTTACATAAAGTGCTAGAAGGAACAAAGAGTGTAAATCTGATCAATAAGGTCTTCACAGTCCTTTCATTCAGAAATGAAGGACCATCCGTCAGAGTACTAAATGAATAGGTCATGGCAATTCTCAAAGCCAGCTAAATCAGTTATTCCATTCTGGCACAGACAAGCAGGAGTAATATTTGGATATTTTTTCACATATATATATTCCTCAAGCCATTTTCTCTTTCCTCATGATAGGTTTGTAACTAAGAACAACAGAATTGTTTGGCTTGTACTTTGCTTCTGACACTTGCATTCTTAGGCATGGAAGATGGACACCTTTTCCCTTCAGTGCACAGATAGGCTCATATATTGACTTCTCTTTTGTCTTATTTGGTAAGTTTAGACTGAGCGTGACAGTAGTCATGTAATTACTGTACTGGCTTCATGATAGATTCCAGAAGCTTATAATGATTATGGTTTCTTGTGCCTGGAAGTTGCTGATTTCTCTATTCATTGGCCCCCTCCCTTTATCTTCTCAGTCAGCCCCAGACTCTGATATTCAAAATTTGATTTGTTCAGAGTTTCTTTTGAAATTAAAAAGCTGTCCTTAGCCAAACTATACAAAATTATTTGGTACTAAGCACCTGAGCCTAAATCTGTTTCAGAAGAGGTTTGTCAGAGGCATTCTCTGAGGAAGATCTGTCTTTCTGTTTATTTCTTTTTGTTTCCTTTTAACTATTTTCAGTCAGGAGACTTAGCAAATCAAACAGCTGTCAATTAATTAACCAAACTTCAATTCTTCCTATGAAAGATATAGATTTTTAGATTTTTACTTCTGACACAACCCCAAAATGGTAGAGTTTGATATAAACACTATTATTGTTCATCTTTATTTTCCCTATGCTTGAAAATCTTTGTAAATGCATCTGTCATCACACTTTAAATGCTAACTGTGTTTTACAAAATATCTGAAGTAGACCAAAGGGTGATACTTTTTTTTTTTCTCAAAAAGGAGTCTCAAAATAGGGTTGAAGTCTCTTGTACACAATTTCTTAATAAATTGTGTCAAACCAGGTATGTCAGGTATCCAATGTGTGACCCCTTTGCAGGTACTAAAACATGCTCTGCTGGATGCTCCTGAAAGTCTTCAGCTGAATTTTATAATCCACTGAGACTTGCACTTGAGCTATGGAATCTCTTCACTGTATATAACTGATACTCATTCCTCAAGCTTTGGGACTGCAAGACTAACCATTAAGCAAGAAAATAATGTTAAGAATTCTAAAAATAAATGTAATTTTTTCATTTTCATATGGATATTTATATAGTCTTGTATTTTCTCCCTTGTAAGAACTGGTACTTCCTGCTTGCTGTTTTCTGTGAACGGTGTCCAGACCAGTGAATGCCCATATGTAAGATACAGACTTTTTCCATTATTATGATTTCCAGTTTTTATGATGAATGGCATCCATTAGTCTTGAGACCTTCCCAAAGAAGCAATATTTTTGCTAAATATATTGCAGATTTTGCACATTTTAAATAATACCAATGTCTGTAAAGGGATATTAATGTTTTCTATTTAGCTTGCAGAATTTTCAGATCTTGAAGTAGTGTCCTGGAATTGCGAGGGAGGAAGGGGGGAGAATGCCAGTAGGATAGCAGGAAAAGTACTTAAAATCAAATGGGCAGAAGGAAGTGTCTTCATTGTAAAGAAATGACCATGCTTAACCTATGAATAGTGTCAGGATCGCTGGGTGCCATGCATTATGAGAAATAAGTATTACAGGTAAGGAAACTAATGTTTTATTTTTATTGCCCTGGTAGATGTTACCTGCTTCAACTGCTCTAAGGGTTATATCTTTATTTTCAGTTTTACTTGAGACTGGTATTGAGATCAAAGTTGTCTCTTTGGTATTTGCATCTATGCATAAATATTCTCTAGCAGAAATAGGACTGTGGGTTCTATACATTTTGGGGGGATTTTAAATGAACACTTTAAAGTTGAATTTCAGATTTTACACTTTTTTCCCCAGTATTTTCTGGATTTTTCCTTTTGAGAATTTTTCATTAAACATCTGGTGAATCTGGTGTTATTATGGTGATACAATCAGATTATATACATGGCTAGCTGTGTTTCATGCATTGTCCTCATGAAAGTCCAAGGTTGATAGTTTTCCTAACAAGACTCAAGTTCTTCCTCAAATTAAGTCATAGACTTTTGTAGAACATCTAACTGCGTATGTAAAATTATCCCTGTCTGTTGTGCAGTAAGATAGCGTGGGAATGCTCCAGTGCATAAGAGTGTATTGGTCTGAAAATAGTCCTCCCTGTCATGTTTTGTTTCCTTCTTTATTTTCTTACATTGTAACAGATAATAAAAACAGGACAAGCAGAGTAACTCCTAAGAACAGGGAAGAATGTTGAAATCAGTAACATTTTAGGAGTGTCCAGCTCCTTGGAATCTTAACTTGTAGTGCCATATATCTGGTGAATAGTGAGCAGCTCCCTTACTGTTTGATCTTTGTCATTTTTGTTGGTGAAGGGGAGCAGAGACTGAATAAATCTGATGCTAAGTAATATCTGTAATGCCTAGAATGGGATTTAAATTAAAACTGGGTGTTTCAGTGGCAACAGTGGTATAAAAGTGGATTACCTATAGGATTGTTTAAGTTCACTGATGCTCAATTTAGTCACTCCATTTAATCCTAGACCATCTCAAACAATACAGAAAATTAAATGAGTACAAGCCTGTTCCATTTTCTACTGTAAAACTCCTGCAAGTGTTAACATTTTACTTTAGTAGATCTATTTCTTTCTTTCTGTCTGTGTAAATCATTTCCTGCCACTCCAAAAATAGGTATGCTGAATTTATGCACAAATTCATCTGCTAAAGATTTAGTATCAATTTATTTACAGTATTAATAGGCAGCTTTCATACTTACTACATTTAGGCTATGAAACAGCTACCTACTGCATTCAATATTGTAAAAGCCTAAAAACAAGATGCACCAGCCAATCTCCTATATCGGGGGTGGGCAGTTATTTGGAGTAGAGAGGCACACCTCTCCCTCTCTTCCCCTCTCCATTACACCCTCCCTCCCAGGGCTGCTGCCAATGCAGAAGCCTGAACCCGCCTGCAGCTGTAGCACCCCCCCACCGCCTAGAGCACCACCCCAGAAGCTGCCAGCTGCATTTGGGCAGCTTTGGACACAGCCAGCAGCTGCTGGGTTCTGACCAGGGTGTGGGGTGTAGACGGACAACTAAAACTGCAGATAGGTAGACTCTGTCTTCTGGGGAGAAGCATGCTACAGCTATGAGCAGGTTCATGCTTCTGCATCCACACTGGTGGCAGCCCTGGCCCAGAGAGAGAGAGAGAGCATGAGTGAGCCCCTGGCACACAAGAAACAGCTCCAGCCACCCAGCACCATGTGACTGCCAGCCATGGGCTGGATCCATTCACTTGGTAAGCACCTGCCAGCAGGCCACCCCTGTCCTGTATCATATACTCTCTGAAATTATCTCTAAGTTAACTCAACAACCCCTAGGATTTTAAGCAGTTTCTTAAACCCCTGGTAAACATTAATTTAATTGCACAAAGGGATCTGGCGAATTGTATTCCAGATCCCAGAAATAGCATTCAAGATCTGGTGTGGCAGGACCACATTAGTGGAATCTGGATGAAATTCCTTAGATCCCATTTCACATCTGTCAGGGTTTAGGGAACCTGCACCTGTAATGCAGCTGCATTTGCACCTTGTAAACATACCACCATGTGAAGAGCTCCCTGGTCCTGGGTTCCTTGTGTGCTCGGAACTTCAAAAGGTACTTGGGGAGCTCAGGATTGGGGAAGTCCCCGATCCTGAGCTCCCTACATTGGAACCTTTAAAAGGCACTTTAAATTCTTCTTTAAACTTGCTGGTCCCTGTGCATGATAAAGCAGTTGAACAGAAGGCATATTAATTGTTTGATAAATGTAACATTTGCCAGGGTTCTAATTTTTCCCTCCTTCCCAAACCCTGCACCACAATTTAGTAGGCAAAACAAGTACCCTGTCATTTTCCATTACTACTTTTAATTTATTTCAGAAGATTCAGTTTCCACTACAGATTGTAATTAGATTGATGTTTCTTTTACCAGAAGCTAATCAATATGTTACATTTTTGTAAATATTGAAGACTGGTACAAGTTCAAAAATGGAGAGGAAAACCCTTCATGAAACCTTTTTTTAAAAGGAACAAAAAAGAGTGGGAAAGAAGGACGGTTGTGGATGTATAAAGCAGTAGATTTTTCCACAACTGAGAGGCAAAAACATACCCTTATTTGTAGCAATAGCAACTGGTCTATTCTGATGTTCAATCAAAATTGGATGTAATATTTCAGATCTAGTTTCCTACTTCAGTAAAGCCTCTAAGTTTACACCTACTAGAACTTCACTGTCTATTTCTGTCAATCTCTACCATATCTTTTGAAATCTTTTTTTGATATATGATCATAGAAATACAGGGACAGATTAAATTTGCATGAGGTGGAATTGCTGAGTTGCTAACATATTAATTTTAAAGTTTAGGTTTGTTTTGATGATCACAATGCTTGTTTTTTTTCACCTGGATATAGTTATTGGGATCTGATTTGTAAAATCAGTACCCCTTTGGTTGACATTTAGCACTGTTAAAAACTAAGTTATTTTCAGAAGATTTTACTTCAGAGATATGGGGAAAGTTCCTATATTCCTTGTTGCTTGAAACAACAGTTTTCTTTGTCTTCAAGTTTGGTTATATAATAATAGCAATCTCAGTTCTGTGATTATTGTTCCTAAAATGAAGCCAATGTATTATTAGAATGTGAATTGCTTTCCATTGATACTCAGAAGGATGGTATCGCTTCTATATACTTACTGTACACACTCACCAATTTCTTAGTTTTCTAAGAGCAGGTCATATCTACACAACGTGTACCAGTATTAGGGGACCATGTGGTAATTCATCAGTCTTTAATGCAATTATAAAAGCAATTCTAGCTTATCATTAAAATTAAATTTTAATTCTGTTTCTCATCCAGCGGAAAGTCTTGTTTTGACTAAAGCTTTTCTGTAAATGGTTTGATCAGTGCTTTATACTGGTTATGAAACAGCTAACATGCCAATGAACACTAGAAAGTGTAAACTTGTTTATAATCAGGTGTGAGAAGACCTATTTCCGTATGTCTGATATAGCCGTATTTGCAGCATAGAGAGGACATTATTTGTGACTGGTTTTTAATTTACTATAGTATTTTTTACTGTTTCTGAACTACTTCAGGATTTTGAATTACAAAGTTAAGACCAGTTGATAACCTGAATGCCACCATTTCTTAAACTGTGGAAGAAAACTCCAGCAACTTTTTGGTTGAATGTTGTTTTGTTGATTAGAGATTGATTGTTGGAAAGATACTTGATAATAATTTACTTTCTTTTGTCAGGCATTTAAGATGTGTTATACTATATACCTGTAATTTTAGAAATTAGTATTTAATGTAAAACATGTGTTTCCCCTACAGAGAAGATGGTGAACTAGAAGATGGTGAAATTGATGATGCAGGATTTGAAGAAGTTCAGGAAGAACAAGATACAAAAGGGGAGGATAAACAGAAAAATGAAAAAACACATAGGAAATCACGGAAGAAACGCAAAAAAGAAAAGGAAAAGAAAAAATCAAAAAGGAGGAGACGGGATAAACATAAGGTTAGGAAATGCAAACCAAAATATCAGAGCTACTGACCGTAACTTTAAGTTTGACTTTTTCGTCCAGGAACATATGTTCTGTCACTAATAATGTTGGGAAACTTCTTTGGATGCTATGTGAATGATAAAAAAAAATTTGATATTGTATGAATGAATGAAGTTTTTCTGGAGGACCTAACTAACCAAGGTATTTTGCTTAAACATGTTGGGCAGATTTCACTTTCGAGAACGCAACTCCACTAATTTCTATTGCAAGTAATTTATCGATGGCAAAGAAATAATAGATCAGTAATATTTCTGGTTGTTGTGTATTAAAAGTGATAGTTTCAGAAACTTAACTGCTAATTTTAATAAACACAGTTTCATATTTTTTTTGCTTTCACTGTACCATGATCATGTTTCAAAAGTTGGTTCTATTTTGAAAAGATTCTACTTGAACTTAACTTTCTCCTGATGAGATAATTTACAAATTTTAAGTAAAAAAGCATTCCCTGTTTGAGTAGGGGGGAATCCATAGATTGCATTTTGTATATAGCTGGTTCCCCCTGTAGTCCAGACTGTATGGGTATTTTACAAAGAACAGGAAAGACACATTCTTAAGTCATAGAAAATGTAGGTTTCTGAACCAGTAAACATTAGCAGAGATAATTAGGAAAAAATGCAGTTTGAGTTTTCACATTTACTAAAAAAAAAAATAAACTCAGAGTATTCCCAGTTAATGATATCCTTCTGAGATCATATAATCAAGAATTGTATACTTCTGTTCTCCACGGCTTCTTCTTATGAACTATTTATGAGTGAAATGAGCTTTAGTCAAATAAACTTGTTGTTTCCTTAGTTTGTAAATTAACTTGAGCTACCTTCATGTATGATTAATATACCAGCTCGGTATCAAGTCAGATATCAGAACACTAGAAAAAAAATGCAGATGTCATGTATTCATTATGTTATTATTAGATTAGTTCCTGTTAAGATTTAGCTGAGTTGTAACTTGTTCAGAAACTCTCTCCTTCCTGTTGCTTGTGCTTTTCCATGATTTTTTTGGCAGTATGCCAGAACAATATCTGACAAATATTCTAATGAGTTAGGGTGTTAGCAGCTGAGCAGTAACACCCTCTATACTGAGAGGAATGTCTGAGAGCTGACAATAGCAGCTGGGGATTGCTGGGAAATTGGACTTGAGCTTCTCCTACACAATTTCCATTGACCGCATATCCTGGACTTGACGCATGGCTCCAGTGTCCCATCTCCCGTCAGGGAGTCCCACTAAATACTTTGGTTTCCTTTGTCTCATCCTTTATTACATTCTCTTCCCCATTCAGTAAAGGACTTACATTTTCCTCTTATAGAATAATTTCTTCTTGTTGTTCGCTTTTACATCCCTTGCTAGCTGTATCTCAGTTTGTTTCTTGATCTTCATGATTTTTCTCCCTACATGCCCCTGCTATACTTTTATAAGATTATTTGGATTTTGAGCTCTTGTTTCAGGAGACTCAGGCATTGGTCAGTCACTGCAGTTATTTCCATAACCTTACATTTAAAAAAAGATATAATGGGGAATCTATGATGGAATTGTTTGTAACAGAAATTGTTTATTGTTTCAATAATATAAATTTTAAATTAACTTACTGTAATTATCAGATGAAGACAGCATACTAATGTTCATCTCTAGAGTTTTAACAAAGCCAAATCCAGACTTCAGTGCAAGCAGCAGTGGTGCTGGGTTGATGCCACCATTGCTTCCCCCATCCCCTGCTGCTGGTCTTCATACCTGGGAATTCAACAGCAGGCCCCACCCTTGCTTGTCCCGGCCCCTCTAGGAGCCCTGTAGACTGAGTGAAATAGTTCTCTTTGCTGGGTCTTTGACACCCGTGGTGTACACCAAGTGAGGGATACTTCTTCAACAGGAGCATTACCAGGTGATAAAGAAACAGGTCTTGGAGACCTGTAGAAATCTTTAGCTATGGACAGACATTACCTTTATAGTGCTATATATGCAATGCTACAGTAAGTGAGAGGACAAGCATGCTCTCCTCCTCCTTCCCTGCCGCCGCGCGCGCCGCCCCCCCCCCGCCACAGTGCTCTACAGAAATGGTGGAAGCACTACTGAAATTGTTCCATCATGGAACAAGAACTTCTCTGTAGCACAATATGTAACAATTGTTCAGCACACCGTAGAAGCTACAGAAGTTCTCTTCGTCTGCCAGCATCTCACAGTGCTCCCTTTTTTCCTCACCCTTCCAAGGGGGAGAGTGGGAGAGCCAGATGCACAGTCACTGAGTGCAGCCCCAGAAGAACATAATCTGCACATGCAGCCACCTGCCTCCTCCCCTCCCCCTGGCACTGCAGGCTGCATCTCGGCTCTGCTCACAATACAAGCCTGGTTCTAGGTCCCTGCTTATTGACAGCCTAGTCCTCAAGAGAGCTGCCCTCAACCAAGGAGCTCTGTGCATCATTTTGCACCTTGTAGCACTACATTTTTCTAGTGCTTCAAAGTGCTGTGGCAAGTGTAGTGCTACAAATGCATTTCTCTCTGTGGCCTTTGTGACAGTGCTCTAGCAGTACACGAGGCACTGACAGCCTGGGCCTTTGATCCCAAATGCAGCCGCTTTCCCCCTCCCCCCGACAAACACACTTACTTAACAGGCTTCCAGAGTGGCTAAGAAGACAACAAGGTCCTCATATTAGACACTTTTGCTTGAAGTAGAGGTTCAGCTTAGACCCGAAATGAGAGAACAGGGCATTGTCTCCCTTCAGAAATCCCTTGCAGTGTAGGAAGCCCTGTAAATAATGCCTCCAACCCTTTTTCCCATGATGAGTTCAGTTAGTCTAGGAGAGGAGATAGAGGAGTTACCCAGGTAACTCCTGGGTATTCCCTGTGGATTCCAGGAGCCCCACTTCAGGGCAACAGCTGCAATCCTAGAAAAGGGGGGGGTTGTAAATGGGCAAGTTCAGACTCTGCTCTACTCCTGCCATGGACAGAGACTTGCCCCCTGTGCTTTGGAAGAACACTGGTTCCCAGAAAGGACCCAGGGAGAACAAGGGATGCCTCTGCAAGCCCCCCAGCCTGATTTGCAACTAAAATTTGTAGTGTCCACATTTCTTCCCACTCTTTAATCTGTCCTCCAGTAGGCAGGTGCAGCTTTGACAACATGTTTTCTTGATGAGAAGGATTCATCCTTCACAAAAAAACAGGAAGCCAGGAAAAGTATATACTGCTCAGATGGCAAGAGTTCTGAAAATCCATTCTTTGGCAGACCTTCCCACCTTGCGAAGTGGAGCTGCTGTTGCAGCCCATTTGACAGCCTCATTAGAGTGCAGCACTCTAACCCCCTAAAAAAAAGTGTTGGAAGAGACTTAAGTATCGTACCATTGTAGCTGTGAATGTTTACAACCTCTCACTTTCTGTCGGAACCAGGAAGGAGATTGACACAGCAAGATACCATTCTGGATCCTCTCTGAGAACAGAGAGGTAGAACAAAATCAATTGATAATGTTAATGGATATGGTTGGCCAGTCTTTCCTTTATTTTATATGCTAACTAGCATATATGCAATATATTTTGATTTTACTTACCAAAAAGTGTATAATTTGCTTAGCTTTCAACACAATACTTGTTCCAGTGAGTTGCCTGTTGCTTACCTGCACACTAGTGAAATGTATTGACCACTTAAATAAATAGTATCTTTTAGCTTTGTAATCTAATTCTAACTAAGTTATATTCCAGTTAATTAAATGTAAACTGCAACTGTAATTTTGCCACGAGTTACTTCATAACTAAGTGTGCTCCATTAACTGCACTAGAAACAACAAAGGGGAAAAAGCACTATTCACATTATGCTAGGATAAATGCACAGCCTTTTTTCAGTCCTGAGGGCTATGTACTTAAGTGGGCAACCTGGAGTCCCTTGTATAAGAATACTATGGTAATAATGTTGGGTTTTGTTTTTCAGCATAATTCACCCTCTAGTGATGACAGTTCAGACTACAGTCTTGACTCCGACATTGAACGTACAGAAAGATCACATAAGAAGGGGAGCAGTCTGTACAGAGATTATGATTCTTCATTCCTTCAGGTATAACATATAAAACTATTTTTTTCTCTCTTCCATTTAGCTACAGTTTCTAAGTAATGCATTTATTATATTATATTTGTAAATGCATGCAAATCATAATATCCATCCTGAAAGCTCTCTCTGGAAATTCATTTAGATCTCATTTCTCTTGGGTGATATTTTATTAACAAGTCTATCCCACGTTACTAGGGTAGTTTTATTTTACAGTTTAACGTTTGATGGCAGGAATTCCACTAGTACAGACAAATGGGGAATATTCTCTCTTTTTTTCAGTCAGGTAGGAAAGTATTGATCAGAATAAAAAATACATTTCATTTCTGCTTTTCCCAATCCATGGAAGAATTATTTTTAAATTCTGGGAAGAACGTTATCCCTCTAGTTAATAAGGTAGGTATTGACTTAAGTACTTTTGAGTATGGCAATGACTTTGAAGAAGCCAGCAGTGCGGAAGCAGCAGCAGCATGGATGCAGCTTCCGGCTGGGTAGGAGGGAGTTGAGAAAAGTGGTGGCAACATGGGCATAAGCAGAGCCTGCTGACATACCACAGAAGCCACCTGACTTGTATCAAACTGGAGCTGGGATATTCTGTCCTGCAGCTTGAAAAGGTTGCCAGCTGCAGGCTTACATACTAGGAAATGAAAATGTCAATAACAAAGAATGAGTTTCTTACGTAGTATTTACTTGTTCGTAACTACAGATCCACTCACGTTTTCATCCTCATTTCTATTACTTTGGTAATTAAAACAGATCTATGCATATATGTTTCCTTTTAATTCAGTTTTAAAAATGTATTGTTTTTTTCTGTAATAGAGCATAAGCTTTTTTTAAAAAAACCTTTTTGGTGTAGCTGTTAACAAGCACTTTGCTTTTATATTTGTCCTTATAAAGTCTGTATCTTGACAAATAAATCTTAGGATATATAAGCTAATGTAAATGGAAGTTGATAAATTAATTTCAGGAATTCTTTTGTTATATGGATAACTTTTCTGGAACTTCAGTCTCAATAGAAATATTTCCATGTTTTTTATTTATTTTTAATGGAATAACATTTCCCCCTACAGTGCAATAAAACACAGGAGTTGATGCAGCAGTTTAAACCAATGTCCAGTTAAGGCATTTTTCAATCTCTGACAGATTAAATGTATTGGATGCTTCAAACAGCAGTGTAAAAAGACACATATCATACCTGTGAGAGAAACCATTTCCACAACTAATGCAGGCAATGTTCAGCTTGTTCCTGAAGTGCAGGGGGTTGATATTCTGTTGAATTTTATTCATAAATAAAATATACACATTTTTATTAACAGTTTTCAGGGACCTCAGCAACGTGGAATAGAGAGTCACACTTAAGCCACCAAGCCCACTTATGTGCCTAATAGATGTAATGGAATGTGGCACTTTTTGAATGCATCCACTTTACAGAAAGAGAGAGGTTTTTACTGACATCATGCCACCTTTTCTTCATTTTTTTAAAAAGAATTTTGTTATGGGTCCAAAACTGTATTCGGTGAGTGTGTCTACACATGCATTTGATCTGGGAGCACTTTACTCATGAGTAAATGCTCCCAGGCATGCAGCTACACATGCAGTGTCTCAGGTGCTGACAGGAAGCACAGGGCCAGGAGACGGCTGTCTTCTGGCAGGGCGTGGCTGTTGCTGGTGTGGGGACAATATCCCCCTGCCCCAGCAGCAGGGAGCTCCTGGCCCCAGCTCCTGATCAGGGGTAGGGGACTTGGAAAGAGCTGCAGGGGAGGAGCAAGTTTCAGCCCCCTGCACCAATCCACCGGTGAGGCAGCCAGCAGTGAGCCCCTGACTGGGAGGTGAGGCTTTCCCAGCACTGGCCCTGCGACAATGGAGCTGGCGCTGGGATATAAGGATCTCCCAGCCCAGGACCTATGATCACCGAGCAGGGGCTGGGAGCTCCCTGCTGCCAGGGCAGGGGGACATTGTCCCTATGCCTCAGCAGCAAGCAGCTTCCAAAGGGGTGAGAGATTGTTCTCTGCCCTGCTGCCTGGTTGACCAGAAGCACATTCGCTCCCGGTCAGGGGACTACATGTGTGCTATTGTGCAGTTACTAATCTCAAGTAAATACGCTACTTGCATTTGCAGGTAGCAGATTTACTCATGATTAGAGCCAGTTACTGTACAGTAAGCATCTGCATGTGTAGATGCAGAGACTTGCTGCTTAGTAATTAGCTGTACTGCACAGTAGAGCATCTCCTGTAGATGCATCCAGTATGTATAGTTCTAGAATACTAATGCTTTGAAGGCCAGTGTTCTGGAGAGACTTTTCTGTTCTCTTTTGTTGCACTGTGACACCATTAGAAATCTTGAATACAGGACATCTAATTGTGAATAAACAAACTGAACTTTTCAACAATGATACTTGTTTATGCAAATCAAGGAAACAACTTTGAACTAGTTAAGCACTTGAAGCGAAAGTGATAATTTAAAAGTAATTGTTTTCTAAAGTGTGTAAGGGTTATGTGTGCGTATCTGTGTAT